AAAAAGTCCGAAGTGAAATTGTTTTCTCGATAACTCGAGCGGGGGTGTTTCGACAGCGAAGGAATGGAGAGGGAAAATGGAGTGGAGGAGTATTATTCTCCCCCCTTCGGTCTCGCCGACCTCGTATTGACCTTCCCCTGGACCTAAGGGTGTGCCATGCAAAGTTTGGCTGCTTTAGCTCTTACAGGGACAATGCATAGAGAACAAACAAACAAACTTTCTTCTTTATATATTTAGATAAGGCTTATGTGCAACATTGGAAAGAAAGAACAGATAGTATTTCCTACAAGAGTCTAAGGTAAGTTGAATTTTTGATAATATAATAAGCGAGTCTGAATTAGATATTTCAGAATTAGCTAATTACTGACTTTTTGGTAGAGGATGATAGAATAATTGAACGATACTGTAGCGTCTCAAAACACCATTAGGCACAGTTGTTTACCTTTTCTCCCTTTCACGAAAAGACACACACTTTGGATGACAGAATAATTGAAAGTTTAAAATATTAGCTCTTGGATTCATGTGAGTTACGAAGAACTTAAGATCGATTAGTTCTTATCAAATAAAATGAGTAGCTCTTCATTAGGTTGTTTGTGTACTAGTCCTGTTAATCAATTGTTATCTGAAATAAATGAAAGATTGTATATTCTGCAAATTCCCAGAAGAAAAAAGTTTTTCATTCAATACGCAACGAAAAGAAACAGTAGATCCGATCTAAACAAAGGTAAACGGAATTTTTCGAATCGAATCCTAGGTCAACCGCAATCATTTCTTGAAAATTTCTTAGATATACCGTTATTGGTTGTTGAGATAAATTTTCTACCTTTGATGGATGCTTAAGGGCAGGCATGTTTTACGGTTTTCTCTGTTCTCAGAGAGTTCTAACCAAAATTAAGTAGTTACCTAGAATTTGTCGACGTGCTCCTCGTATCCTTCACAGCACTAAGTGTTAACAAGTAAGATGAACGTGATCGTTCATAGGCACCTTTGCTTGAAAATTGTTTTTGGTGTACTAGTAGACGCTGACGCTGTGCGGTTTGAACAAGCAAACATTTAAAAGAGTTGCCATTAGTTCGCATCATTCGTCTACTGGAGACTCAAAAGAATTTAAAAAAGTAAGCACGAAGTGTGCATGAAGCGTGAGAAAAGTCATACAAAATATGTCTGACACGAAAGCGTCAGCAATGTTCTGCATGAGAGTCGAGAAATGCATGAACGCTCCGTTTAAAGTCCAAAGAGTTTCGCACTATAGTGGTTGGACTTCCTGTCAATGGATAGCTTATATCCATATGATTCACGTTATTTATGTTAAAAAACTTTGAATGATCTTCTTCACAAAACATCAACGAAAGTCATATGAAAGTGTTTTATCACAACTAAATTGTGCTTTTCAGTCTTTTTATAATCATTATTACATATCTCATCAAATACATGAACTGCGGAGAGAGACGCACAGTCTCCTATCTCCATCAGAACATAGACTGGTGGCAAACTTTTTGATACTCGCAATAAAAGCTTTTTTCTAGGCAGTAATCTTTTCTTTTTTAAAAATTCTGATCAGGATGTGCTTCCACATTGAACTCATAATAATACTGAGTGAACGAGAGAATCTGTTTATTGCACACTGTAGAATGGTTCGGGCTCCATGTGAGTACACGATAGGAGTGAGTATCAGTGGAAGCTCGTCGATCAATAATTGTCAGAAGCGATACCACATTCGCCGTCAGCACAGCGCTAATTATACAGAACATAGCACTTTAAGCATACTCTCGAAATAATATGATTGTTATCAAAACATCTTATAAGCCAGTTCGCCTCGCTACATGCAAATTACAGAAAGAACGTGGAAATTCTTCGCTTTATGTATTAATCATAAAACACAATGACATCAGACGAATAAAAGGCTAAGCGGTAGAGGAGATATTCCAGACATGGTTCCTGATAAATGTCTTTTCACAGAGAATTATGCATGAGATAGGACGCCACAATCAGTCAGACGCTTCTCCGAAATTCGTTCACCATTGTTGTACTCCACATCATACCTGTTCCCATTCGCATATGTGTAAATTCCTCGATCGTGCTTTTTGTCATCTTTGTACTCGCCCTCATACCTGTCCCCATTCGCATATGTGTAAATTCCTCGACCGTGCTTTTTGCCATCTTCGTACTCGCCATCATATAGATCTCCGAACCATTTCGTATCTTTGCCCCAGGTTTGGATTCCTCGGCCGTGTCTTTTGCCATCTTTGTACTCACCCTCATACCTGTCCCCATTCGCATATGTGTAGTTTCCTCGACCGTGCTTTTTGCCATTTTTGTACTCGCCATCATATCCATCTCCATACCATTTCGTATCTCTGCCCCAGGTTTGAATTCCTTGACCGTGCATTTTGCCATCTTGCCATCCCCCAGTATAATGCGTACCGGTGGCCCATGCACATACACCTCTGCCGTTTGGCACATCGGCGACAGTATCACCTTCATAGCTGCCACTATCAGCTAAGATCACTTTCTTCTTCACCACTATTGACGATAAACCGGTACTTGTTGCCTCATTTAATTTGAGTGACGATACTGAAGCGCTCATTGATTCATCATCATCGTCAACTTCGCGCAGGTACACGATGTGCAAGCCATTAGAGTGATCAAGCCCCCCACTCACGACCTCCAGTCTCGTTCCGGGCATCAGCACAAATTCGTTCTCGTTTGTATTGCAAGTGTAAGCTGAAATGTTCTTTCCGTTCAATGCTTTGATCATGAACAATGTACTATCAGTGCCTAGAAAGTCCTTGATGGCATTAACCGATGAAGAACAGGAATTAACTGACCACCATGTTACTAGTTGTCCTTGTTGAAAGCTCCTACTCACGTCAGCATCGACGCCACGCCATAATGGTAGCTTCTTAGACGGTAGTTTGTTAAGAGCAGTGTCCAGCAGTTTCAAGTACGGAAACCATGGTTTTAATGCTGCACGATTTTCATCTCGTAATGCTTTGTTCAATACGCGATAAAAGCTTTGATCACCAAACTCCAACGTGTACAAATACAAGGCAGCTGATTCCTCTTTTGTTAGATGGTCGGAGGAATGACAGTGCTGTTTAGCGATTTTAATATAGCGTTGTAGATTATCGATGAATGGTATTATTTTCTCAAGTGAGACTTCCAGTGACACCAGTGGTGAACTGAGATAACCATACACCGGTGGCAATTTTTTGTGCTCTAGATCGATGTCACAATATCGAACACTCATATCTCGACTAAAAGAAGAACGAAGACCACTATTACAGTGAAGTAGAAGGAGAAGAGTTTGTGCTAAGGTAACGTCAACTAGAAAGACTGGTTAGATTATCTTTTGTTGGTCGTGTGGCGGTGATTTCTGTTGGAAAACAAAGCAATGACAAGCGACATGTGAGGCAGCAGCGGCTATCAGAGTATACGACTTTGTGTTTTAACCAGAGAGAGACACAGAAAAGAAAGTATTTCACATCCTTATCACTTCTTAACTACCTGAAAATAGATGTTTCACATGAAAAAACGAAATGAAAAGAGTCATAGCTTTGAATGTCATCAAAGTTTCACTCCTTAACAGTGACATGCATTTCTTTTGTTAGATTGATCATGAAAGCATTACCTTGTTAACAAAGAAGAAATCGGTTATTTGCAGAAAGAAAGATACAAAGAACTAGAGGCCAACTATGCTGCGCAAAGATTGGAAAATCAACTGAGTGGAACGGTAAACACCCGGAATTATAACATCTACAAACACACAACAGTCTGACTATTTTTCAAAAGAATGCCTATATTCCTATATCCGCTGATTCATTATCGTGCCATATATTCTACTATAGTATAGGTTTCATCATATCCAGAAATATAGTATATATTCACTATGAAGTGCATTACGGGACGATTAGTTATCTCATAGGAGAAACTGGTTTTCTAAAAAACATACTCATCTTGTGGCACTAATTATACGATAACTATAGCAAATATCTGAAAACTAACTTCAGATGTGTCATCTACAGCTCTTTGACTCTCTATTGGTCTTTGTCTTCATTTTCTATCATCAGGAATAGCTAAGAACGAGTGGCTGAGTCGAGAAACAAAATCGTGTAGAAAGAAGAAGAAATTTTTGTGGTGAAACAGAATAAATCTCCTATAGTTGCACTCAGTAGACTTAAAGAAAGAAGAAGAATTTTGTTAGGCAACGCGCGAAAACTAACTTCAGTTGGGCCATATACTACCCTAGTGAAACTTTTTGTAATTAAAATCTTGACTTCTTGAATTTTTTCAGGAAGATCTTGATTCAAGACCTTGGTAAGAAAATATAAGAATTCAAGAAATTTCAAGAAGTCAAGGTCTTGAACATCTTGTAATTTCTTGACTTCTTGTATCAAGACCTTGGAAATTCTTGAATCATCGTTTTGTTTTACATTCTAGTGTAAATGTAAGTGCGAATATTTTCACACTTAGAATAACTTCGAATTTTTTTCCTTCATAACCATAGTTGTTTAAGGAAGAATCTATGATTCTATATGGTCGTATATCCAATGGCTACGACTGTCATAAATAAAAACAAAATGTAAAGAAAATTTGTCGCTCTTACTCTTGCAACATCTTGAGTAGATTCACACAAGATCTTGAAATTTCTTAACCCAAGACCTTGAGTGGAGTAAGCCAAGATGCTTCAAGAGCTTGAGTGAAAAACTCACGAATCCAAGATCTTGATTTAAAAAGACATAGTTGATACAAGACTTTTCTTTATGTTTCTCGATTTTCAAAATTTAATTTTTCAAGGAAATGTCGATGGACGGTATGAATTCTAAGCAAACATTACTTGTTCTCTATAAATTCGAAACCTTATACCCTAGTAATGCTCACAACAGAGGTTTCGTAACTTTACTAACTGATTCTGCAAAAAACTTTAGTCATAAATGGTCTTTACTTTACCGCGGAAAAATAGCGGAGTTATGGTCAAAATATCAGAGATGGCTAGTGTTCGCAAATCGACGATGGTGCTCATTGTGTAAATTCTATAACTAAGCCAGAATAAGTCAGAAAGTTTTTTCATACTTTTCATAACCCCAGTTTTGATAGCAGAATCCGCATATGAAATAAACAGTATATGTCAGTTTTTCACTCGTGACCGGTCTTTGGCATGGTTCAATCGACTGGCGAAGCCTCTCATAAAGCTTTTTTGAGTTAATTTTTCTAGTTTCACGAGACATTTAGATATTAGTCTTCTTGTGATATCATATTTTAAGTATCTGTTCTGTGCAGAAACCAAACTCAACTGAAGGAAATATTTCAATTTAAAATATATATGCTAGTCCTAATGAATCAAATTTGAATTCAGATAATACACCAAAAGGTGTTGGTGGTTGAACAAGTGACGAAAGATGGACACATTTTATTGATTATGGTGATGCTAAAACAGGTGGACATAAAAGATTTAAATGTAACTATTGTGATATAACATTTCATTATGCAAAATTATGATGATGTATCGGCACATCTCACGTGAATGTGAACAAATGTCAAGTATCAATCCAACTGATCGAAAAGAAATTCTTGTCAAGTTAAACAAGGATATAACTGGTACTGATCTTGGGCCTGAGAAGTGGGATAATGTACTAAAACCGTGTTGACACCAGTTTAAATATAACACAGGACACGTTCATTTTAAAAAGATGCACATTATTGTTAAATGAAATAGTTATAAGAAACAGTGCAATCAAAAATGTCCTCTTTTAATTGTAGTCTCGAACGCTCTTATCGTTTTGAATCCAGTTCTAATGTTGGTTTTTTGTTAACACATGATACATTGCATTCATACGTTAATGATAAAAATGAAAATTGATACTTAGAAATGAAAATTTGTTACTTTAATCATTGATAAGAAAGAAAAAAGTTCGATCTATGTTTTGCTTTCTTTTCGAAACATCACAACTCCAAAGTGCCGTAAACAATGTCTATTGAATGGGTGTTACGCATCGTCTATTCCTCAATTTTTATTTTATGTCTAATGGCGAATATTCTACTGGTCCGAATGTACACATCCACACGATATAAACAATGTTCGGCAAAATGGTACATCATATTCAAAGCTTTTAGCGATACTCTATTCATATTTGTTGTGGTAGTTGTGTTTCTTTTTTATTTTACGTTCAATATTACTCTTCCTGACCAACATGTCGCGTTGTGTAAACTGCTCACATACGCTATTTTTGCCACCTATAAATCAAGCGGACTGCTCTTAGCAATCATGAGCATCGATCGAATGTTGCTAGTGACTTTCAACTGGACGACTAAAACATTTCGAATATCACTTATTGCATCCATTTCAATCATTATCTTACTTTTTCTCACCAATTTTCATCATTCACTTCGTGCGAATATTGACACGAAATTTGGAGGCTGTATAAAAACGAAGATGGGTATTCTCGACGATGAGTTCGATCAGTACTCGTTATATATTCACATGATAGCTACGTGGATAATGATCACAATCTCTGTCAGCAACATGTCAATTACTTACTGCGTTAGCAGGTTCAAACGTCAACGACCACTACAGTGTAGAATGGGCACGCAATTGATTTACAATGAAGATGGTGAGGATTTCACAATCACTTCTGTTCTAACCGATCAACATGCCGCTGAGCAGTCTACAATTTTGGGCGTTTGGATACTTTCTACTTTATACGCTGTATTTTTCATACCTATTTTTCTCGCTCGTATTGCCATACACTCCATGAATACTAAGATGCTAACATTTTGGGGAATTGCTAATTTCATCGGTGTTATCCTTGTTTCATCGACATACGTGTTCGGCTATTTCATCTTTCGATATTTGGAAAAGCGTCAATTAGCACAAATACGAATACATTCATAAATCGGATTGGGTGACTTTCGTTTAAAAAAACTTTCACTAAAGCGTCCTTTTTTAACGAAAGTATCGAGACTTTGGTTAAAAAGTTATTTGCAGGAGTTTTATTAAAATTATTCCATGACCCAAGAATTTCATCTGACATACATATCGCTTAGCAAATGATACCTGTTCCACTTCGTAATTGTATCGCTTAGCGATACATACATCTGTTTTTTCTGCTTTTTTCCGCTAATTTTCGGGTCTTTTACTTATATTCTGGTCACCAACTTTCAATAAAATATCTCCGGCACATTAACTGTAGTCTGGAGTTTCATAAAAAAATTTACTACTAAAATTTCATTAAAAATTTTAATGAACTTCACTTTAATGAAAGTTTTTTAATGGAACTCCGATATCCCCATAAATCATAAAACTCTCAAGATCAGCAGTTTTGGAAATTGAGTTTCAACAAAAAGAGTTGCGAGATACAAAAAGAGATACGGTTTTTTCTTGCTAGACTATCTGAAATCCGAATTATTATTAAGATTCGGAATTATTTCAATATATAGACTTTGCATGTAAATGCTATATCATAACTGCGGAAGGTGAATTGCTATTCTAACGGATAATGTATAATTCAGTGTGAAATACAGTTATGCTAAATAAAATATATTATATTTTAGTTAAATGTATGTGCTCATTCATTTTCGTGATTTATAAGGCGCTCCAAATTCGAAGTTACAGTGAAATTCGCAATCCACTCTTGTTGCATATCCCTAGACGCAGAATTTTACACTGATTCAGAATATCACCTTTAAAATTCGATTAACTTGTGTCTTCGTTGAGAAAAGCGAAAAAAACGAAAAAACGTGTTTTTTTGCCAAAAACGGCTAATTTTGTAAAAATCACTTTATATTTTATTACAACAACTATTTGGAACCTTCAAAGTTAGTTATTCTGACCCATCGTGAAAAACTGCATCGATATCGATCTACGTAAGTTTTAAAATTTTCCAATGAATAAAAGTGATCCACAAATCCACACGGATCGATATAATAATGCGTTTTACCAGGAAAAATGCCATCAGATTTTTTTCGTAACAGATACAAACCTAATTCTTTCGTCATTCGATTCCCCATGAAATTTGCTACAAATGCACGGATCTTTTCTTCGAATCTTTTTCCCTTGCTGAGTTATGAGGTCTTTACCGAAAAAATCCAGTTTTGGCCCAATCGGTGTAGCGATTTTTTCGACAACGGCGTTCATGTTTATAATATCCGTTGACTTTCTTGTGAATTACTCCGCTTTATATGTCATTCACAAGAGAATTTCACAAGCTTCCAAATGAGCTATAAATGGGTCTTTCAAAAATATGCCCACAT